TGCGTTTATTTTGCAAGAGAAATCTTGGAAAATAATCGTTTTATATATGTAATTCCGACTCTTCGTGGATCTAAAAATTTACATTTTTCTTTTTTCGTTGTGGTAAATTATTGATTTTTGTTAATAAAAATAAATGCAAACAAGTTGATTGCGAAAGTATGAAAGTCTGATTATTTCAACTGCAAGTTTCTGACCAAATATTTTTGGTTTTGATTGAGATTCCTGTTAATATGTTGCATGTCTTCTTTTAGCAGCTAGTGTTTTGTTCTGTTTCTCAAACTATTAATCCAGTAATTAAGTTTGTTTCAGATTTATTAATTTACAACGATTTCATGTCACCGTGTTCAACAGCATTTCAAATATATGAACTTATGTGAGTATGCCAGAGGTTCAGAAGTGAAATAATAATGGAAGTAAATGGTGGAATGGAAAGTGATGTATGAGCCTCATTTATTTATTTATTATCATTACCGTAATTTTTATTTATAATCATATAGATTATTATTTATAATAATTTTACTATTTTTTCTACAGTGTGCTGTGTTTAGGAAACGTTACGGTGCCAACGGAAACGGTGTGAGTGGTTTCAACCCCCACATAGTGTCTCTTTAATACTCAGATTTTTCTGATCAAATCCCTGGTTTCTTGAGTATATAAGATGTTTGAAATTTTTGCGGAAAGTTTTGCGAAAACCGTCTAGATTTGTGTCAGGTCGGTTATGTTGAAACCCTCTAGATTTGTGATAGGTAGAGGTTTTATAAAAACTCATCTGATTTTTGATAGGATAGTATGAAAAATATCCTTACTAAGTAATATTGAGTAGTATTGGGTTGCATGACGTATTTGGGTTGCATGAAATGGGTAGTATTAAGTAGTGTTGGGTATTATTAAGTAAGTAGAATGCTTTGGGAGATATTGCATTTCTCTTTCTTTTTTTAATTATTTAATTGTCAACTATTCTATATTTTCAGGCCAATATGCATGTAAAGTGTTGCTGTTTTAACAAGATATCACCTGCTTTCTTTTATCTTTCTAGTATATTTATTATGAAAATGAGACTGCGCAATATTGACAAATTGTAGGATAATCTCATTTCACATAATTCATCTATTTCTTCTATGTTTAATTTGTCTTCTATTTTCAGGTTTTATTTATCTTTTATTTCCAGGATTAATTTATCTTTTATTTCCAGGTTTAATTTATCTTTTATTTCTAGGTTTGTACTTTGTATTTTGTATTAAAGTACTTTTTATACTTTGTATTTGATTCAGAAGCCACTGAAGTCCAGTGAAGAGGATTTGTATCTCATAAATATCCCTTCTTTTTTTCTCCAAACCACTTAGATTTTTAATGGACAGATCACAGTAGGCCTTTAACTAATTGGAATACTTTGAAGTCATCTTAGATTTACTTTCTGCAGGAATATAATATTCCATATCTCATAAATATCCCTTCCTTTTTTCTCCTAAAAATTTAGATTTGTAATAGACAGATCACAATAGACCTTTAACTAATTGGAATACTTTGATGTTATCTTAAATTTACTATTAGGAAGGATATAATATTCCATATCTCATAAATATCCCTTCCTTTTTTCTTCTAAACATTTAGATTTGTAATAGACAGATCACAATAGACCTTTATTTAATTAGAATACTTCGAATTTATCTTAGATTTACTATCAGGAAGGATATTTTTAAATTAAGTTAGATTTTCAATTAGGTAGGACATTTCTAAATGAAGTTTGATTTTCAATCAAGTAGGATATTTCTAAGATAACTTAGATTTAGGAGTAAGGAGTAAAGAGAGTAAGGAATAAGTAAGGAATAAGTTAGGAGTAAGAAAGATATTTTTCAGTTAAGTTAAGTTCATAGTTAAAGTATAATTTTAATACAGAAGTAAGTAGCTTGTAAATGAGTAGTGATTCATACTGCAGTGCTATAACAAGCGCATTAGTATTTAAGCAAAATATATTAGTAATTAAGTGTATTCATAATTAAGAATAAGTAGTATTTAAGTCAGTAACTATAATTTTTAATGAGATGTACTTCATCCTTTCTTTTCTTTTTTCTTCCTACATTTTTTAACAATTAATTATTCTCCTTATTCGTGTCAGTAAAAATATAAAATAACAGTATATATATGTGAAGTACTATTTCATATAAAATTATATAATTAGTATAAGATTTAATTTGTTTCATTTTCAGATTGATTTTTTTCTGTCGGTCTTTCTTCTGTCTCCTTATGCTGTTTGTTTTGCACAATAGTCAAATATTGAATGTTTTGCAAATGTACATCAAAAGGAGATTTTATTAAAAAATGTCTAAATTTTTGCATAAAAAGGAGGGTGGATGGGACGTGGTTAGGGTTGGGTCTCCAATAGCAGCAACCTCCACGTGGTGAGACCTGGATAATTGTATTATTTGATATATAATTCCTAATTATATCACTATGGTTGTACTACAACTAATAGTCATGATATAATTATGAATTATATAATAAATAATATGAGCTAATTGGCTGCAGTCACAAAGATATTTTTATATAATTTGAAGAATTATTTGGTTGATAGGAAATAAGTGATTGGTTAGTATTCCTCTATTCAATATGTTATTATTCAGATATAGTTAACAAATTTCAGGGTAATAGAATTTGTAGGAATTTATATAAATTTCTCTTCTAAATGTATTTATGTCTTTTGGTTCTAAACTCGGTAATTTTAAGGTTTTTTTCATGTATTTCTACAAACATTACCCTTACAGTGAAATTATGATTGAATGGTGAAAATAGCTTTGTTAAAAAATGAATTGATAGAATGTGTTAAAAATGAAAGACATAGTTTTATATCTTAATTCAGTTGACTATCTTCAGTTAGTTCTGTTCTTACTATCTTCTTCTGACTTATAGTTGCACCTCCTTAGGTTTCTTAGTAACTCTTAAAACATATCTAGCTTAATAGTATTATCAGCAGTGATTTATCCTCCAATATTTAATATTTTTAATTTTGTAGAAATAATTTTATAGAAACAGAAAGATTATATTTATGCAAATATAACATTTTTTATTTTATAAACGCAGAACGAACGACGCAGGTCATTACAAAAATAAGATTACAAAATATAATATTTCACTTAAACACAGTACGTAATTATTGCGCGTATAAACGATAATAATCTATTACTGTTAATCATTACAAAATGTGTATCAGATCAGCCAATATTGTAGACGCATTCATACAATCTTTTTTTTTCTTTTTTTTTTTCCTTTTTTTTTTTTTTTTTTTTTTTTTTTTTTTTTTAAAAACTT